TTCAGAAGGTACTTGTGCTTTAATTACTTAAGAATAATACTATCGTTATTACTATATGAATTAGCAAATAAAAATATTGCATTTTGTATTTTTTTAAATTGTTTATTTAAATTAAATTTTTAAAGCCAATTTTCCTATTAAAACATTATTTCAGATAAGTAATTTCATAAATTAAAAAAGCTTTTTAAATATCTAGCGCTTTATTTAATCAAACTTTATCAAAAAATTTTATTGAATATGTGTGTATGATAGTTACAATATACTTTATACACTTGATATAAGTAAACACAATGTAATATTTATATAATACATTTTGTTAAGATATATAAATAAAATAATTGTACAATCATGCTACAATTAGCTTTAACTTACAGATATTATATAATGTCTACATACCCCTCTATCATATTCTATACAATCAACTATAGCCAATAAAAACCACACTTAAATTCTCAATCTTTTTTTACCTACAATTTAATATTATATTGTACCGATCGACATGTACACTCACCGACTAACTAAAAGGTTGCAACCAATTTTTTTTTATGATTTTCGGAATACAGTCTGCTCACTGAACGATTGGTTTTTACTCATGGTTGCATTCCGAAAACCACAGAAAAAAAATCTGTTACAACTTTTTAGTCAATGAGTGCGCATCACGATTGGTACAATATAATATTAAATTGTAGATAAAAAAAGATGCTTAAGAATAATCATTCGAGAGTTTACATTATAGAAATAGGCGATACAGCGTCAACATTTTAAATATCGATATATTTCGATATTAAAATTGTTATTTAAAATATTAGACACTTTTTGAAATCGTGTTCTTAGTACTTTCTCTTCTAACGCACAATAAGGAGACACGACCGTTTTGCAATGACTTTTTATTTTATAGTAATTGTGACAAACAAGAAAACGAAAGGCGAAGGCAAAAAGTGAATCGCGAAAAAAAAGAACATGCGCACTGCATCCAGAATTTCCAGCACTTGAAATACTGAACTCTCTTATCCTAACTCTATCCAGCTTGATACGCTTGTAAGTTATAAACACATATATTTCAATAGAAATGTATCCATTCGAACAGGAATATCGAACTTTCAAAGATGCAAAATATTGATTTTTTGTGCATTGATACGCATTAGTGTGCATGTCGCTTCAAAATATCAGATCCATATCGATATCAGCAATGTTGCAAATTACCAATTCTACATTTTGATATATCAATATTTCTATTTACAATACATTGCGATACAAAATATCAACATTTTGTTCTGTATCGCCCATCCCTATTCATTTAGCTTTTCAATTACTTAAATTTCTGACGCTAACTCTCACTCTCGGAATAGTTAGAATTATTCTCGATACTTATCGTACATGGAATATATTCTTGTCCGGACTCCTGAAGAAAAATAAAGATGGATTATAGAAATAAAGACAAAATTAATTAATCCGCTATTTAAATTCGTAAAAATTATCACAAATTGTTCGTACATGACATACCGAATTTACAATAATTTGTCTGCCTCCTTCCAAGTTTAATTCATCCATTTCTTCCGTTGTTAGGATTATAACGGAATCTTGCGGTATACTATCCTCGTCTATATAAGTTATAGGTATTTCTGATGCAACCTATGCATATCACAAATCCATTAGCAATGAAATTATATTGAAGGGATTTAATAATTCAAGTGTATTACCTCGCAATAACTGAAATTGGACGTGTCTTGTATTTTCACCTGAGAGTCATGCAGTACTGGTGTATCAGTTAATCGTTCCTTTTTCACATTTGATGATTTTTCCGCTTTTTTTCCATCTTGTTGAAGTCTTCGCCATATCGTAGTTTTTGGAATGCGATACGTTGTAGACGCTAAAGCCTGCGACATTCTGCCACCTTTACAAGCCGCTACAGCCTCTTCTAATCGCGTCTTCTTTGATTCTTCATTCTCAGGTTTGCGCTTTTTCCAAAACGATAACGGTAATTTACCTTGATTTACTAGCCGTGCCTTTTCTCTAAACAATGTAGTCTTTGGTATCTAAACATCAGTGATATCTTAGGTTACATTCAATTAACAATCTATTAAATCTACGACAAAATACATTCAAAAGTAATAAACAAAATTGCAATAATAAAATTTACTTTAAACTCCAGAGCAACTTTTGTCAAATTTTCTCCTCTTTCTAAAGCTTTAACAGCGGCCTCTTTCGTGTCTAAAGCATATGATCTTTTCATTTGACGACGTAAGATCTGATATCCTTCCTTTTGTATACGCCTCCATAATACAGTTTTAGGTATTCTAAATATTTCTGATGCATGCTGCAAGCTCGAACCATCTACAATAAAGTTAGCATAATTAAATAGTCTAAATATAATTATTAAATAATTGCAGACATATATTGCATACTAAAATAATCTAATGTAAAATTTACACAGAATTACATTCTAAAGGAAGAATAAACGAAGTATAAGAAAAATACTAACTGATCACGGCATTTATAGCTGCATTCATGCATTCTGCAGGATATCCATTTCTTGATGCATTTAAATGTATGCCTAATGCTTTTGCCCGCATGTACAACGTCGAACGTGGTATATTGTGCTTAGTAGCAGCTTCTATTAAAGTTTGTCCTAATTTCAAATCATTAATTGCAGATGCTAACATATCATCACTGTATTCTCTCTTTACAGTGTCACGGCGTCGTTTCTTCTTTTTATTTGAAATACAATTTTCAGCAGTGCTTGGTTCATGAGTTTCATTCTCCAAAGGCTCAGCATTGTCCTGAATTTCCTCTACTCTTGACATAGTTTCTTCCATTGTTTGATCTTTTTTTCCTTTAACAATTTCATTTTCATAAACTCCATCTATCTGTTGAAAATATAAAATATGATTGTAAATTTCAAACTGTTAAATATAAAATTCTATAACAAGTTAAAAAAAACTTGATAAATTATAATAAAAAATCTAATTAAGTAATTAATTTGATACTAACATTAATAAGACCATTTATTTTTAATGACAGTGCAGCTTCAAGTAAGCTACTGATATTTTCAACAGGAACACAAATTTCTCCATGATATATGAATTCGATAATTGACTTTATATCCTGAGGAGATATATCACTTAGAATAATCGTTGGATAATCTTCTGTCACTTGACTTAACACTTCCTATAAATTACATATAATATCAATTTCAAAATTATTGTGATATAAATAATTATATTATATAATAATTATTAATAAATTTGTCAATAATATACTTTATAATATTACGCAAATTGTATATAGTTATTTTATATATAAACATTACAAAGAATAAAGCATTATTGTATTATATTTCTCTCAATACAGCTCCCATATAAAATAATAACATAATAATAACAATAACATAAGAAATTGAAAACAAATTTTCAAGAAAATATTGTTTCAGTAAAGAGTTTCAGTAGTTACTATTGCTACTACTAAAACACATATATGTACAATTATATTTTCAGTTGCTCAATTGCGAGATTTTCTGAGCCTTGTGAAATTATTTTGTATATATAACAAAAAGCTTGTTCTTTTTAGCTGAACTTTTTCAGCAGCTCATCTTTCTTTCTTTTCTCTTCAGGAGGAAAAAAGAGGAAGAAGAAAAATGCGCTGGTGCAAAAGTTCAATCAAAGAGAACAGGCTTAAAAATGTCATTGAAAGAGATTATTTACTTGAAATAAAATACTACACGCGCATAATACAATGCGATGCGCATGAATACGTTGACCATCTGCGGATAGAGTGACATCCACCATGCAATCCTCCTCCAAGAGCTGCCGCACGACGTTAGACAGATGATTTTGATAATTGTTCCATTTAAAACGGTAACTCTGATTGACTTTACATTGGCTAGTGTCAGTCATGCTGTTGTCGTTTTATCTTCTTTCCACTGTTTTTTTTTTTCAAGATGGACAATTGGAACAAATGAATTTCAGAAATACAAGACGTTAATCCTTTTTATAGCAAATCATACACATACATCGATATCGAGTGTCATTAGCTACAAACAGAAAATATCGCACTATTGGCATTGACCAGTTACACTACGGACATTGCGGACATTAGCAGCTTTGCAGCTATAAAGCGGCGTCTACAATGAAATGTTAAAGGTGCCTTTTCATGCTGACGCTCGACCCGCTCATTTTATGTCGAAACAGGTCGCGTGATAAAAATTAATAAATATCACGCGTCAATTATGTTCACGTGATTTGTTTTAACGTTTTGAATGTTAAAAATTAGCATCGAGCGTCAATATGAAAAAAGCACCTTCATGCGTGAAACGGAACCTCATGTAATCCTTCCAGAGGCGTGTTCAGATTATTACCTGGCTGCTCCCCAGATATCATGTTATCCTTATCTAATGTACGATAAACGACAAGAATGGAATGATACTGGATGACACTTAAGTGGGCATCTAGTGGTCGATTCTGTGTCTTCAAACAAGCTAAAAATTACAAAAGTGAGCAAATTTACTAGGTGTTGACCAATGAAATTATCAGTATTCTAGTAAATTCGTTCACTTTTATCATTTTCACCTCATTTCAAGATACTGGAGACTTCCATACGGTTCTTTAGATGAAGTGGAAATTATAAAAATGAATAAACTCACTAGGTGTCTATGAAGTTACAAATATTCTAGTAAATTCAATCACTTTTGTAATTTTCACCTTGTTTTAAGAACCGTAATAAGCTCCCAGAATCGATCCCCAGCACAGGCTGCGTTCGGAAGACACTGGAGCGGTCCAAATATGGCGGCGCAGGAGTGATGGTAGGGATCTGATTTGATGGTGGGAGTTCGATATCAGGTCTCTTTATATATAAGATGCTAGTTTAAAGTGTTTGAATCTTCGGACTTCGAGGAACCGTTGTTTCTTGATATTGAAACGAATCTAATCATAACGTAATATTTTATTGATTAAACATGTATATTAAATCGATTGTATTAGAAGGATTTAAATCCTATGGCAAAAGAATCGAAATAAATGGTTTTGACAAGGAATTCAACGCTATAACAGGATTTAACGGTAGTGGAAAATCAAACATTTTGGATGCTATATGCTTTGTTTTGGGCATTACAAATCTTGGCCAGGTAAATTTCATTTGTTGCATACATTTATTTTATACTTTGTGAGATATTTATCATAGCATTGCACAATGTGTTCAAATATAGCCTCATTCTCTTGTAATATTGTTTTTAAAAACAATATTTAAATCATTAATATTTAAAATCATAATTTTATAATAATGTATAACATATACTTTATTGTATATTATTTATCAATATTTGTATATTATATGTTAAATAATTAAAATAAAATTAAATAATATAATATAGGGCTTGAATCATTCAGGTTATTATATGAATAAAACTATTTTTATCAACAACCTAAATTTTGTACGTTTTTCTCGACCCTTATTGGATTATTTTCAATGTTAAATAATAAATTAAAAAATGTTACTGGTAACTACGCAAGATGTTCACAAATTAAATAAAATATAAAAAGCAATAACATGCGCTTTTTAATAAGGATCGAAACGTCTGTACAAAATTTATTTTCTGTACAAAATTGTTGATAAAAATAGTTTTACTCACATAATAACCTGAGTGGTTTATAACCCTATATTATGTTATTTAATTTATTTAATTTATTATTTGAACCATTATTCTTTATTGAATTTTGAACTAAAATTATTTCTATTTAATTTATACGTGATAGTGATAGTTGTTAAATTACAAATGATTTATTCACTAAATTATATTATTAACAATATTGTTTTAATTTAATATAGGTACGTGCTACTTCTTTGCAAGATTTAGTCTACAAATCAGGTCAAGCAGGAATAAAGAAAGCTAGTGTTACAATAACTTTTGATAATCGTGACACTGAGATATCTCCTATGGGTTATGAACAACATGAAGAAATTGTGATTACAAGACAAGTAGTGATCGGTGGTAAAAATAAATACATGATCAATGGGACAAATGCACCAAATAAACGAGTACAGGATCTGTTCTGTTCTGTCCAATTAAATGTGAATAATCCACACTTTTTAATTATGCAAGGTAGAATAACAAAAGTGTTGAATATGAAGCCAGTAGAAATTCTGTCTATGCTGGAAGAAGCAGCAGGAACAAAAATGTATGAAAAAAAGAAACAATTGGCACTAATCACAATAGAAAAAAAGGATAGTAAATTAAAAGAAATTAATACAGTATGTTGTTGATATACTATTTGATAAACTGATATCTTCAGTCTTATATTTATTTGTTATATATTTTTTAGATTTTGAGAGAAGAAATAGGTCCAAAGTTAAACAAGTTAAAAGAAGAGAGAACAAGATATGTAGAATTTCAGAGAATAGAAAGAGAACTTGAACACTGCAAACGAATTCATCTTGCTTGGAAGTATGTTACTACTTTTAATAATAGTCAAAAAATGGAAGAAAACGTTAAGATTGTACAAAACAAAATAGATTCAAAGTTAGAAGACATGGCTGCTGGTGAGGAAGAAATCAAGGACCTAGAAGTCAAATATGATGAATTAATAAAGAAAAAGGAAATGGTACGGTATTTTTTGTATTAGTTGTTTTTTACTGTATTACAGATCTGTACAAAATTAGCTTTCGGACTAAATTATTATATATAAACAATTTTTCAATGTTCATATTGTATAAGTATATAAATCTATATAATATCCATAATAAAATATTTTTACAATATAATTCTTAAAATTAAAAAAATACATATAGTACTTTATTGATATATGTTGTGCATGATTTTAGTTATATCAAATTTTTATTTATATATATATAATAATGTAATCTCCAATAATAGTATTAAATTTGGCATGAATAATGTTAAATTATAGTATAAAAAATACATTGTCATTAACTTTTAATAATTTTTTAACACAGGAAAAAGGTACTATGCTGGAAGCCTTAGAGCAAGACCTACAGGAACAAGAGAAAAAGCGATGCAAATTATCAGCTGAAGTAAACAGTAATAAGGAAAATATTAAGGCTGTGAAAAAAACAATGGAGCACATCAACACTAATATAACAGATGATAAAAATGCGCTTATTTTAAAAGAAGAAGAATTGGAGAAAGTTGGAGGAGTTTTTCAGAATTTGAAAGAAATGTGCCAAAAAGATACCGAAGCAGTATTAGAGGCACAAGAAAAGTATCAGAAGATCAGTGCAGGTCTATTGGAGAGTGAAGACGGTGAAAATGCAACCTTAGAACAACAATTAATAAATGCTAAGCAAAGTGCAACGCAAGCACAAACCGAACTTAAACAATGTGAGATGACACTAAATCACAACAGGCAACAATTGAATAAAAAACAAAAAGACATGCATAATACTGAGAATGAATATAAAAAATATCATGTGGACTTGGAAAAGAAAGAAAAAGAATTAAAGCACTTGGAGAATGAATTGGAAAAATTGAATTATAAGGATAGTTATTCCGAAGATTTAATAAATCAAAAAACTAAATTGATTGACGAAATGAAACCGTTGCATGAGAAACTAGATCAATTTGAGATGAGACATCCTCGAACGAGGTTCCAGTATCAGAATCCTGAACTTAATTTCAATACAAAAGCTGTAAAAGGTATTGTATGTAACTTAATTGATTTAAAGGATAAAAGGACTGCATATGCCTTGGAAGTTGCTGCAGGTGGAAAGGTATAACATCTTTCACAATTTATATATTTTTTTTAGAATAATCTTTATTTTATTCATATAATTATGTTTCAGCTTTATAATGTAGTAGTTGACACTGAAAAAACAAGCAAAAAGCTTCTCCAATATGGACAATTACAACAACGAGTTACGATAATTCCACTCAATCGAGTGGCTGGTAAATTTATGGAACAATCAACGATTAATTGGGCAGAAAAATTGGTTGGAAAAGAGAATGTTCAACCCGCTTTGTCTCTTATAGATTTTCCAAATGAAGTTAGGCCAGCAATGACGTGGATATTTGGTCAAATATTTGTATGCAAAGACATGGAAACTGCCAAGAAAATAGCTTTCCATGAAAGAATTATGAAAAAGTGCGTTACTTTGGAAGGAGATCTTTTTGATCCAGTTGGAACGTTATCTGGCGGTGCCCCAGCGAAAGCTGGATCAGTTTTATTAAAACTAGAAGAAATGAAAGCAATTAAGAATGAACTAAATCACAAAAAAACACTCTTAAGAGACATAGAAAGTGCTTTATCAAATATTGCAAAAACTGCAGAAAAATATGCATCGTTGAAACAAAAATACGATCTATTAACTTATGAAATCAGTATGATACAACAGAGATTGCAACAAACAAGTTATCATAAAATCAAGGAAGAGGTACACACATACATGTAATCTGTAAACATTTTATGTGTACATGTATATACATATACACATACATATGTATTAATAATTGTTTAAATATAAATACAGAAAATAAGCAAAAAATTTTTATTTTATGTAGATAAATTAGATTCCTAACTCTAAACTTGTTTTTTTTTTATTTGTACAAGCCCAGGAAATAAGCTGTCATTATTTATTATTATTTTGATATCAAAATGATGACTTCAACATGAAAATAACGTCAAAATGATGACAAGTAATGTTAGAATGTTTGCTGGGATGTACATGTATGTTTATATTTATGTTCAGGTGGCTTCTCTGAATGCAGCTATTGAAGAGCTTATAGAACGAATGACTGCAGCAAAGAATTTAGAAAAGGAAAGCACAAAACGTGCCAAGGACATAGAAATTCAATTAAAGGATGCAGTGAATATTCGTGAGAAACAATTAAAGGAAGCTGAGAATCAATTAAATATCTTAAAGAAAAAATCGGAACAAAGTCGCAAAGAATGGCAAAAGAGAGAACAAGAGTCAGAAACACTTGAATTAGAAATAAAGGAATTAAAGAAAAGTATTGAAAATGGTGATGAACAATTGCTTCAAGTAAATGAGAAAAACAATATGTTCGAAGAAAAAGGAGAAACTCTTCAGCAGCAATTGCAAGAAACCAAAAATAAAGTTATAGAATTGCAAAATAATATTAAAAAGCAGAAAGACATAATTATTGAACAAAACAAAAATATACAAAGATTAATCGAAAGAAAAGAAGATATTATTAAACAAAATAAAGATCTAGAATTGGATATAAAAAAATTAAATCACGAAATTAATGATATCAAAAAAGGTGCAGCAGAATGTAGGCAGAAAGTTTTGGAGCTCACAAGGAAATACGAGTGGATTGAGCAAGAGAAACCTTATTTTGGAAAAAAAGGTATTTACAGAGATAAACATTGTTTAACTTATATTGATATACATATATAATGTATGTTATGTTATTTTTAGGTGGTATATATGATTTTGAAGTTAATAAACCAGAAGAAATGGAACAAAAAGTACGTAATTTAGAAGCAATGCGTGAAAAGTTAAGTCGTAATATAAATACGCGAGCAATCAATCTTCTTGATAAAGAAGAAGAACAATACAATGATACATTAAAAAAGAAAAGAATAGTTGAGAATGATAAGAATAAAATTCTTGAGACAATTAAGACTTTGGATGAACAGAAGAAACAAACCTTGCTTATAGCTTGGGAACAGGTATAATTCTTTGAGAAATTTGTTCATTATATCAAATCACATATTCAAAAAATCTAATAGTTTAAACTTGCTTATTTTATATATGTTTATTTTATATGGTAAATTATATATTTAAATTATAGTATTTCAATCTAATGTATTATATAAACAAATTATATTGCAATTGTAATATTTTTATTTATACTTAAATAAAAATATTACAATTGCAATATATATATATATATAAATATAAATCCACAATGTCCAAAATATATAAATTTTGTATTTCATTAGGTAAACAAGGATTTTGGTTCTATATTTAGTACTTTATTACCGGGAGCCGAGGCTAAATTACAACCACCAGAGAATGAAGCAATAACAGACGGTTTAGAAGTGAAAGTTGGATTTTCGGGTGTCTGGAAAGAGTCATTAGGAGAATTATCTGGTGGTCAAAGATCTCTAGTTGCTTTGTCATTAGTCTTAGCTATGCTTCTTTATAAACCTGCACCGCTTTACATCTTGGACGAAGTAGACGCTGCCCTAGATCTTTCACATACAGAAAATATAGGTGTAATGTTAAAGAGACATTTTAAACATTCACAATTTATTATTGTATCCTTAAAGAATGGTATGTTCAACAATGCAAATGTTTTATTTACAACTAGATTTATTGATGGTATGTCAACAATAAGTAGAAGTGAAAAAGTAAGATCCAAATAATTATACATAATAAATTTTAAACAAACTCAGTGCTAATATTGTTTATAATTATTATATTTAAGTGAAACTATTTTTATATCATTTTGTTCATCTACAAAATCAGATTGTATCTTCACTACATAATAAATATTTGTACAATTATTATAACAAGTATAAAATTTATGAATTCCCTAATAAGTATCAAGTTTAAGAAATCATATTTAACCAATCAGTTCTTGCGAAAAACGGATGACGTTTTATTTCATCTATTGTCAGTCGCTCTTCTGGATGATATTTTAACATCTGCAATCACAATTTTTATAAATATATTTTATAAATAACATTATACAGAGTTTATCATTTCTTAAACATTAAAAATCATGAGATTAATATTAAAAAATGCAGCAGAACATGACACAAACTCACACCACATAACAAAGATCCTGTACTTTTCGATAATCTGCTAGGAATGTTAATTGTGGAATGTGAATGAAATGATCCTGGATGACTTCTGATAAACATCTGTGAAACAAAAATTAAATTTTAGTATTGTGAAAGGTATATAATTTTTTTATAATTAATTCCAATTTTCTACATACAGTGCCAGTAAATAGTTCATACAAAATAACTCCGAAACTCCAAACATCTGTAGCGGATGTAACAGGAATGGTCGGAGAAAACATTACTGATTCAGGTGATGAATATGGATATGTTAGTTTAGATAATTCAACATTGTGCTGTGGTATAATATAAGTAAGCCGGATATGTCCTGCGTCATCCAGAAGAATATTATCAGGTTTGAAATCAAGAATTATAATATTTTGCTGATGAAGTGCTTCTAAAGCTAAAAGAATTTCAGCTGCCCATGACCGAATTACAGCTTCCGGTACTTGCCAAAATTCCTGTTCATCTATATTATTTTCTTTAGTCGTATATTGTGTCTCATCAATGCTATAATTAATGTTTGATGAATTTATCTGAACGGATATATTTTCAGTATTATTATTCTCACAGATTTGTAATACATTATTGGTCGAGACATTTTGTATTGAAATAGTTTTCGTATTGTTATGCAATAAATTGCCCATTTTATTATTTTTGAGTGATTCACAACTTCCATTTAATATAGATGCACACATTTTTCTTGATTCGTTTGAATTTTCGTTATTGTTCATTAATAAAGAATTATTGTCTTTCAAATCTTTATTCTTTATGAAACTTTTTGTTAAAGAATTCTCTGCAACAGTAATGTCATCTACTTTCGCATTATTAGTATGTGATTTATTGTGATGAACATTAGATAACATAAGATCTGATTCTTGAGGCATTTGTGTAACAGTCTTCGCATTCAACGATGGTGTACTTTCTGAATGTCTCAATTCCTTACACTCATTTAATCGATTTGCAATAGAATTGCTTTTCTTTAAGGTTGCATTAACGGATTGTAATAATTCTTGCGATTTTTCTAATAATTGTATAGTAGGCATTTCCATATAGATATCACTTTGATTATCTGTCGTGTATCGACGATTTCCCTGTACTTTATTGTTTTCTATAATTGTATTCGCTTTATTTGGTTCATAAATATTTTCATTGCTGCTGATCTCTCCATTGACATCTTTATTTATATATGTGTGATTTGAAGTTACATCATACAGACCGTCAAATTCTTTATAATGTAGTCTTACGAAGTCCCATAATCTTCCACAACTATAATGTAAAATACATATAATATTATACAATATATTTACAAATAAATTTATGATACTGTACCTTGCATATTGTAAGATTAAAAATATAGTAGTCTCAGTTTCAATACATGCGTATAAAAGTACCATATAAGGTACTTGTTTGTGTAATACATAATTGCTTACACTATCCTCGTAAATACAAGATTTTTCTACAGTCTGAAATTATAAATTACAATTATAAATTAAAAATATCTCTCTCTCTCTCTCGTAAACTATTTATTACTATATATTTAATAATTCCATATTTATTATATTTCAAATTTATATTAATGCCTTTATGTATAATAAAAAATATAATTTATATATAAATCATATGTGATAGCTAAATTACCTTGATTATTCTTTTACAATTTGCACGTATATCCATTACGAGCATCACGGATTTCATTATTTTAAGCACTTTATAATATTGAAGCTCAGATATTGGTTTGTTTACTTTGGAAATGTTATAATTTAAATGTTCGTTATATAATTGTTCAGCCCGTGCTAAATACTTTGATATCTTATCTTTTATGCCTGGTACTCTTGTACTGTCTGGATCAAATTGTACACCGTTTATTAGACATGATATTCCCAGTTTGTATTGTGTAAAAGCTTCCTCGTACTCGGCTATAGATTCATGTTTGAAGGCTGCACTTATATGAGCAGCTGCTATCAAGAGATACTGTGTAGAATCTGACTGTGCCTGAGAATCTTTTACGTCCTCTTGTATTATTACAGAATATATAGAATGTGTATCATAATTTAAAAAGGATTTACTGATATTGTTATTCAGACTATCAAATCCTGATACATCGCTGAGTGTTGCCATGTCATTCTTATCAAAACTTTTGTTTTGATGTGCATCATACTGTTTAGTAATAATATCTTGCGTATGCAATTTTGTTGTTTTACAGCTTTCTTTTCTATTAACGTTAGCATTCTGTAAATTAATACTGTCATGAGATTCATTCTTTCTCCGATGTGCAAATTCATTTTTGTTTGCACAAATAACATCTGATAAAGAAGAACACGGATTTGGTAACACATTATGAGATGCTTTCAATGAACATGGAATTTCAAAGGTACTTTGCACTGTATTATCATTTACAAGTACAGGATCATTCAAAGCAACAACACGATCATCTTCAGATGTATCCGAGCTTAAAGAATGTGCGCAATCATTACTATAATTATCTACATGACTAGTTTCAAAGAATGTTATAAAGATATCGCTTGAGTATAAGTACGAGTATCGTCCTACAAATTCCAAAAACTTAAGAGCACATTTCTTCCTCTCCTCTACAACCTCAGCTTCAAATCTGCCAAAATACTTTGATTTGGGAAAAAGTGGAAAACTTTCTTTCGTTCCAAAACGCTTATGTAAGTGACCAAGTTCTGCATGAAGCTTTTTGAAATCATTATAACGCTTCCATACAGATATTTTTGACACTTCTTCATGAGAAGATTTCAGAAATACCTAAAAAAAAAATAAGAAACTTAATACCAAAATCTAAAAGGAAAATACAATATTGTCATATATATATACCATAGAAGTAACTTTGTAGATTGTAAAGCCCTTCTTGTGCCGTTTTGTTTCAGTAATTATAAAACGTCTAATCCATTTATCTTTTGCAGGTGCCATCACTTAATTCATATTGATCAGTAGGATCTTTCTTACTTACTTAAACATTACTGAGATTTCTCGTCTGCTATAATTTTGTAAAATATAAATAAACGCAAAAATAATTCGCTTGTTCCCTTGTTTTGTTACACATTATGTTATATTTGCAGAGCTAACAATAATAATAATATTTTTATTGATACCCGTATGAAATCGTTTACGTTTTATGTCTTCGCATTTTCATACGAATTTTATATATAATTCGAGATCACATGTTATATTTAACTAATAATTAAAACAAAAATGATAGAATATACAGTTTTCCTTATGGTACTAAATAATCCTCCCTCTTTTGAGATATGTTCACTAATAATCCACTGACATGTCATATATGTAGAATATATATATAACAGGCTGAGTTCCACATAATGCTCGCATGCTCGCGAGCATTGTTTGTTCTTGTTCAACATTCGATAAACGACAAAGATAAAATGATTCTACGAGCGTTGTAGCGTAAATGGAACGTATACCATAGTAGAATTAAAGAAACTATTTCGCGCATGCGTAGATACGTTGATATATATATCCGGTGATTGATATTATCTACTATTGATATAAATTTTCCAATCGCCAATATCCTGGTATTTTAAATTTATTATTTATTATTATATATATAAATGTTTCATAAACAAGAATGCATATATATATATATATATATTATTCATATATATGATCGCATTTTTTCTGTTATTATCGACACATCTGCGTGCACCAATTAAAGTGCGTTGTATCAGCTGATAAGTACATATCTTGCTATGTAGTTTACGTTCACATACACTTTTTTCAGTTGGCGTTAGTGTGCGGGGGTTAGTTTCTACTTTCTACAAAAAAAATTGACATGATCTTTCAGATTTTTTTTGTCAGTACGAATAGCTTATTTGGAAGTAGATTATAACTTATTTGCTTTTGTCATTCTAATATGATCACATGACAACTTAAATAGTGAGTAAAGAAAGATTCTCCTATCTTAGAAAATTGTTCGAAGACAATTTAGAACGAAGGAAATTACTTGTGTATGAAATCGGCCAGAATCGGCATATAATATAAATACCGATAAACATGCTACTGCATTTATGAAGATTTTTTTATATTTTTCCATTTTTGATGATAAATATTATCATAAATAGGCGTAAGTTCTTTTGTATCATAATAATATTGAAATTAATTAGAATTAATTATTATTTTATGTTTATCTGCGTTATTATGGCTATCGTATAATTTGTTTTATGCATGCAAATATATACGTTCATAATTACATATTCTGTTTAAAATTTGTATTGCATTGATGTATATAACCATTCAGAGAAACTAAAAATAATCTGAGATACTAATTTATTAATTTAATTGGATGCATTTTAATGATAATTTTAATCACAATTTTAATATATCCTAATATTATAATAATTATTTTCTGAATATTTAACAATGTCATTTGTATTTACATTTTTACTGCTTTTAAAATTTTATGCAATCTACTAATGAATACGTACTGTTTTATCATTTTATTACTTATTTTTATATTTCAGAAATATTTTAGTCAGGTTTTATATTATTATTATTATTATTTGAAATGAACAAAATAGAAAAAATTAATATTGAAGGAAGAA